TTTATAAATAATAAGTCTTGCAGTCGGGTGTATGTTTTAAAGTCGAGGGTGTCACAACAAAATAGGTTCATCACACGGTAGGTAAAAAATCTTCAGGTACACAACTATCTAACCATTTTTTCAAGAATAAATTTAAAACGTTTTCATCCCCCTGGTAATTGAATTGGAAAAAAAAAAAAAAAATTCAAAACGATTAAATATAAACATCAAAACAACCCACGGGAGTGTTATTTAATTATTTTTGATTAAAAAAAATTTGCCACTCAAGATTAATCTCGTAGAAAATTAATGAAGTGTGATCGAACCGTTTAAAGAAATCAATTATGTGAATTTATTATTATTATTATTATTATTATTATTATTATTAATTTTAACGGCAAAAAATTATGTTTTAAATATGCGTATTAAATTAAAACCCATTTTTACATTTTCATTGATAAAATATACGCGATGTGAAATAAAGTTCAATCACATTTTACAAAAACCTAATCTCGGGTACTTAGGTACCAAAAAAAAAAAATAAATAAATAGTGATAAAAACCATTGAATTTTATGGAGTACATACATTTTCCCTTTTGCTCAATGACCGTAAAGGTCAAGTAGCAGTTCTTGGTATTACATTCAAAATTAAATACCCGCATTTTACACAATACACATTCTACAACCGTTTGTATTTTGTTTATGTACTCGCATGTGTGTGTGTGTGTGTGTGCAAGAGGGAGAGAGAGAGAGAGAAAAAAATAGAGAAAGAGAGTGAAATGTAAAAAAAAAAAAAAGAATTACATGACAAAAAATTAAAGATACTTTTTATAGGTTTAAAGAGGTATTTCGAAAAAAAAAAATTTTTGTATTATTTAATAATCATAATAATAATAATAATAATAATAATAAAAATAAGCCCAAATTAAAAAAATCAATAAATCATGGGTGACTGACGTCATAAGAATAAATAGTAAAAAGAGTTAAAGTTTTTTTTATTAATCACTGGTCACACTTGGTTTTATCATAACATAACATAACAAAAAAAAAAAAAAAAAGCATTAATAGCCTCATTTAATAAAACTTCATATTTGTGTGTGTGTGTGTGCATATATTCAAAATGGTGAAATTATCAAAAAAAAATTTTTATGTATTTTTATGCCTTAATAACATTAAATCAAACATTTAGTTGTTACATGCATGTTTTAAATAAATAATAAAAAACCTGAGAAAAATTCTCATCTCGTAAAATTTCAGCCTTTGTTAAATTTTCAAACTATAATTTCAAACAAAATTATATCTCTTTTTTTCTTTTTTTTTTTTTTTTGTATTTGATTAGAAGAAAAAAAATAAAAAAATAAACACAAAAGCATGAGAAAGATTTAACCTCTTTTGAAGTGGAAAAAAAAAAAAAAAAAAAAAAACTTAAATTAATGCAAAATAAAAAAAAAATTTTCTCTCTCTCTCTCTTTTTTTTTTGTCGTAAAACATTTTAATTATTTTTAATTAATTATAAAAAGAAATAATGTAATAATGTGTTTTCAAAACAAATAATATAAATAATTATTACAATGTACTTATTAAGAGAGTAATCTTTCTTTATGTATTGTTTTTTTTTTTAAATAAAAAGTAAAGAAATTTATATTTTTAATTATGCAATACTTTTGATTTCATCGGAAATCAATTTTTAAAAAAACGATTCATTAATTACTTGAAATTTAATTAAGAATGTGGGTTAAAATGTAATTAGTATCTGAAATTGCTTAATTTTATGGATATAATATTGAAAATACAAAAAAGAATACTTACAACTCCTCCCTCTGCCTCTGAGATAACACCATTTTCATTGTTCCTGCCTTTTCAAATGTACCTTTTCCTAACAAAATTTTACAGATGATTCATTTAATCCAATACCTGTAACAAAAAAAAAAAAAAAAAAATGTATTAATGAAAATATTATTCATTTTAAATGATCAGAAAACAATAAAAAAACATTTATTTAAATACATTCTATGAAATATTAAACATATTATGTAAAGTAAAAAAGTCACCTCGGTTAAAACTTAAATTTTAGGTGATTCATTAATAATAATATTTGTTAACGAAATTGTTTTCTTATTTCCCCATCATGAATTATTATTTCTCTTTTAGTTGTCATATCATAAACAAAGAACAAAAAAAAAAAAAACAGCTGACAATATGATATTAAATTCTTGCAATGTAAAATATTTAACAAAATTTTTAAATTTATTATTATTATTGACAACTGGTGACACAGATAACAAAAAATTAAATTTTAATGAAATAAAATATTTAAATACAAATTTTTTGATATGTTGAATTTAAAATGAATTATTTTAAAAATTATAGGTGGGAAGTATTTAACTGTACTACAGTTCGAAAGTGAGAATAATAACAAAATATCAATATGTACCTAAAGTGCGAAACACTTAATTATATTTGAATATTATTTGTGAAAAAAAAAAAACTTTGAAAATTAATGGAGTACTTAGTCTCTATATACCTACATTTTAGGTGTGAATTATAAAATTGAATAATTTAATATGACGATTGTGACGCAATAGGCTCAAACAAGATTTTTATTCGCAAAATTTTGTCGCCATTTTAACTTGTGTCGTTAAATATAATAGATTTTTAATAAAGGGGAAAAATATGATGATAATAATATATTGCAATCGGAAAAATTAACTTACCTTAAAGTTATTGTTAGGACTAGAAATTACCCCAAAGGGAGAATAATATAAATACTGTAAATTAAATTACATCCACAGATACCACAAAAAGGCAACCACAAAAACAAGTGACTGTTATACTATTTGTTACTCATACCCTAGCCTACAAGATACTGCTTACTGCACATACTCAAACTTGAATGTTTAAGGCCCTGATAAAAGTAAAGGCCCCCTTGATTTCATGTACTATGGAAAATAATATTAGTTGTTATTAAGGGGAGAACAAAATGTTAATAAAAAATCGTATGCATTCAAAAAATATTTATAAAAAACCTCCAAACTTTAAAGAATTGGCAATTAAGTTTCCAGAATTTAGAAAATATGTTAAACAAGATTTATCTGGTCGCATAACTATTAATTATCAAGATCAAAAGCGTTAAAGATTATCACGAACATTGTTGAAACAAGATTTCGATTTAAATGTTGA